AACCGGCCATCCCTATATGGGATCCGAACCCGGGGCCTTGGTGTTATAAGCACCGCACTCTACCAAGTGAGACACAGGCCGGCCCTTTTTGTGTGTGTGTGTGTGTGTGTGTGTGTCCGGCAACGGATCACAACCCTCAGTGTCGCGCCCATACCAGACCGGGACCGGCAACGGGATCGCAACCCTCAGTGTTGCGTCCGCACCTCGCTCAGCCAGTGAGTGGGAACCGGTCTGTATGTGGGATCCGAACCCTCGGCGGGAGCACCACCATGCTCCCAAGTGGCGCACTGTAGCAGTGCGCCACCGGGCCGGCCCTGCATTATAGTTTTTAACACGTCTTTTTCCAACAAGCCTATGTTACTTTGTGGACACTAAAAAAAGCATAATAAGGAGCTAAACCAGAAACCAAAGACTGGTCATGGGCAGGGAAGAGAGATGGGTCAGAGAAGGAGCTGCCAGTGGGTCCCTTGCTTCAGGGACAGATGATCAGACTCCTTTTACCCTAGTGATCATGGAAGCCTGGGGGCACTGCAGGGGTCTGGGGAGGGGAGGTGGGTGCTGCAGTCGCAGCAGTTGGATGCAGACTTCATCTCTGCTGCAGCCGCTTCACTGGCCTTGTTGCTTGTGAATGTGACAAGCAACACCCTGCTTCTGTCTCTGCTTTTACATAGATCTTTTAGGAAGAGAAAATGAAGGGAAGTGGATGCGGAGGGTAGGAGAGATGAGGGGAGAGGAAGGGAGGGGAGGGGAGAAGCAGAGAGGACAGAGGGGTAAGAGATACAGTGTCCCTGCATCTCCGTGGCCCCAGGAAGTGGGATGTGGGACTGCTCCTCAGCCCTCTCTGTCAGGAGTCGCCATGGAGACGGAGTGCTGGCCTCTTCATGATTAATACTCCCAGGCAGCTGTCTTCTTGGAGTCTTTTAAAATATATACACTATTATTTGAACACAAGAATATTTAGAGCAGAAAGATCGAGTGGGGTGTGGGGGAGGGAGCACTAGCATCACCAAAACTCTGGCAGGGGTTGGGCCCTTCCTGGAACAGAGAGAAGGGAGGCTGCCTTTACCCCTCTCTCTGCTCCTCCGCCCCAATCCAGAGCTTTTGGGTTTGGTCTCATGCACTGTGGCATCAGCATCTGAAGGACGCAGCGCCTGGCATAGGGCTGAGCTCAATGAACATTTGATGAATGAATTCATTCATTCATTAATTCATTCAACAAGTGTTCAATGCTTGTCTAGAAAGTAAACTCTCCTTCCCCAGCCTTTTTTCATGAAAATAGAAAATTCCCTCTCACCCTCCCTAAGGCCACACACAAGCACGTGCACACACACACACACACACACACACACACACCCAACAACTTCCACAACAGCTCCTAAGGACCTTGGATGTGCTCCTCCTCAGCACATGTCTGATGTGACCCACTGTGTTCCTATCCATGGCTCACTCCAGGGAATTCTTGCAGGGATGGACACCAGCCAGACTGAATTTGCACATCACATTCTACCTGAAAAGCTAGAGGAAGAATCTCCATCTAAAGCTATCTTAGAATGAATCCTTTTGTAGAGTGAATTATCTTTTCCTAAATTATGGAGTAGGCTAGCCTGGGCTTAACTGTCAGCCCCACCACTGAATAGAAGTCTGGCCTTGGGCAAGTCATTTAGCCTTTTTTGAGTCTGCTTCCTCATCTGAAAAATGGGTCTTTTATTCCTTACTCCATAGAACTTCTGTGATGATTAAAGGATATTATGTTTGTAAAGTGCTCAATCTATGTGATTTCTCTTTTATTCACTGTGTAAATTTGTATTTTTAGATTTGAAGTGTAATTAAAGTGGCACTCATAGATCTAAGCTCCTCTCTCTTTCATCCCCTCCCAAAGACCTTTATTCTATCTGGGCCCAGAATCTTTTTTTGAAGCTGTTAAAATTTGGGAGGAAGAGGGGTTGAGCTGGGAAGGGCTACAAAATGTTCAGGCCCCCTTTACATTCCCTCCCTGTCCTCATGGAAATCAATGCAGATGCAAATTGCCCCCCAGGGGTAGCCATCCTGTGTGTGGTAGTGTGTGTATGGGTGTCCACTGAAGGCGAGTGGCACAGAGATGTACAAGCTGTCCTCCCTATCTCCTCTCCTAATCACTCTTACCATCCCCCGCCACTCCTACCCCCAGGCCTGGCCTCTAACAAGAGAAAGTTGGGGTGACTTGGACCATTGTCCTAACACAGACCTAGCCCAGTGGCCCTTGGCAGAGAGCAGCAATGGCCTGGCAACTCACCAAAGGACTAGGGGAATTATCCGTGACTAAGGAGGAGGAGGAATGCTGTGGCAGAGGGAAGAACAACAGAAGGGATGGGCAACCTGGGGCTGGCCAATCTGGCCCGACGGGGCAACCTGGGGAGTCCTGGACACCAGCCCAGCCAAACTCCTCCCCTCCCCCACCCTCCCAAGCAGCAAGATGCCAGAGTGAATTTGAGACATGTGTGCCCTGTGTGTCTGGCATGAGCTCATCTGGCCCTTGGCAATGCTTTTGGATTTGAATCAAACCCTGGGTCTGAAATAAAATATAAGGGAAATAGTGCTCTGTTTCTAACCCTTTCAGACATGTGCTGGGTTTCTGCATTTCCTACATGCACATATATGTGCTGCTAACACAGAACCATATCTGTGGCTATTTATTAGGAGTGCATCACTCTGTGAAAACCTTTGTATGATGTGCAGACTCTAGGAGAAGATGTATGCAAGTGTGTCAGTGTATGTTTTGCAGGTGACTGTGTGATGGGACATATTCTGTGAACACACTTGTAGGGTCATTGTGGGTTGGGGTTGGGCAGCTAAGGATGGGGATGGGGCTCAGGGTCCCAGAAGAAAGAAAAAACAAAAAACAAAATCTGCCTTCTGGCCCATAACAGGCACTTAGGGAATGAATACTGAATGAATGAACATCGAGAAAGTGAATGAATGGATGTTTGGACAATGGACATAGGGTGAAAGGACTGAGAAATTGCTGGGTGTTGGGCATTCTTGGGTATTGTCTCTTGAAGAGTATGGGGGGGAGCTGGGAGATATACTGCCAGGTACACTGTAGCCCACCACCCCCAAAAAGCTTTGTTTCCATTTCAAGGAAAGTAGAGAAGGAAGGGGGAGCCCCAGACCTGACTTCCTCATGTTCCAGCTCCCAGAGTCCAGGAATTGATGAAGAACATGCTAATCCATGTATTTATTGTATCCTCTAATTTGGTTCCAGAAAGGAGTTAAGTGAGCTATAACACAAAATAAAATGAATATTTAAAAAAGAAGAGGAAATGAGACAGAGGGAAAATCACAGCAGAAGAGAGGAGAGGCCAGAATGGTAGGCAGACTTCTTTGCAGGAGTTGACTCTGACACTTCTGCAGTCAAGATTCACAGCTTCCTTAGGGTTAGGGATTTTTTTTTTTTTTTTCTCTCGGAAGCCCAATTATATCAGGTACTGAAATCCAGGAAAATACTTCCTGTGGATTCTCTGTGTGTTGCTGGGAACAACATCCCTAGAGTAAAAGGCATTTCCGTGAAGACAGAAAAAAGGTTTGCAGAAGTATTTCATCCCCTGTGGTGAGGTAGGAGGGAGCAGGAATTGCCCTACTTCTCTGGAGGACAATTTGCCAGTTGTCTATCAAAATTTACATGTCCTTTGGCCCAGAATTACATTCAGTGGAATTTATCTCACAGATACATTCACATTTATATAGTCAACGATGTTGACTCCAGCAACGTTGGTGAAAGCAAAAGATTGGGAAACACCTATATACTTATGGAACAAATGGATTAGCTCCTGGTCCTTCACTACAATGTAGTGCTTTACAGCCTTAGAAAAGAATAACCAGGTCTTTATGTTTGGACATGGCACAATCTCTCAGCCACTTTAAATATATATATATTGCAGAACAGTGTGTATGCTTACATGTGCATAAAAATTTTCCTGAGAGAATACCCAAGAAACTCAAATGTGGCTATCTCAGGAGGTAGGAATGAAGGTGGGTGGGGAAAAGGGGGATTTTTACTGTTCAATTTAGAACACACCCTTTTTACTCCGCCTCCCCATTAGCGAGTATTACAGTCTTTTTCAATTTAAATAAAATATTTTTCCTAACACAAACTATAAAAACAAACAAACAAAAACAAAAAAAACTGTTAAGAAAATGGAAAAACACACAGGCGAGAGCAAAGGAAAGAAAAAGGAAGAATAATGGCAATACTCTCTGTGGTTTACTGAGTGTGCCCACAACTTCATGTGCTCTAACTCAGTTTCTCGCCACAGCAAATTCGCAGGTGAGGAAACTGACGTTAGGGTGGATTAAGCGACAGTCCCGTAATTGCCAGAGAGAGGATTCGAACTCCCGCCTGGGGAATCCCAAAGCCCACGCGGTTCTATCTTCCCAACCCCCTGCCTCTGCCTCTAGGCGGGAAGCGCAGGTACTGGACGTCCGGCCCCACGCGGCGCAGCACCCAGCTGGGCGCACCAGCGGCCCCGGCGCGCACGGGGCTCCACGCTCGGGGAGCGCGCGCGCACGTAGCGGCGCGGGCCAGG